AATGCCGAGTTGATGGGAGAGAGGTGCTGCAGTATGAGCGTAAATATCGGGAAAGGTAATAAGGCAAACAGTCATTTTTATAGTAAGTTTATAAGTTAGATTTTTCTGTTGCCCCAGATTACATGACAATGCGTGGCAAAATTTAGGAATTATACAATAAAAGAAGAATTGATTATAGTATTAGATTATAGTATAAAGAAAATATATCTCCTTGTTCTATTTGGGATTTCTAATTTAGAAGATTGACACTCCCTAATGATGTTTAAATTGTCCACTAATTGCACAGGTTACTATTCTGAAGTGGTTTTTGATGGCAAAAATGCTTGGTATTTTTGATTTTCTGGTATAAATTTGCATCGTTTGCGAAAGCCTGATGTAGAAGCTGTGGTGAAATCAACTATGTCATTTATATAAATTGAAATATGATTAGGCCAAGAACTAATTCTTGTAGGACCGCGCATTTTATTGTTTTATAAGGAAATTAAACATTGCCGATATTGACGATTTGAGAGATAATTCTGTAGTGTAGTGGCAGAGCCCCTGATACCGTAGTGGTTTAACTTTCGTAAAAAACATCACGATTCATAGTGCTGAATGCCTCCCTAAGGTCGACGACATTACCAAAGGTTATAAATCCATTGTTCAGGTTTCTGCCATATCAGTCACCAGGTCGGACATGTATAGTTTTGTGCTATGTATTTTATGAAATTGATGTATATGATTTTGATAAAAAAAAATGTAATGAGTTGTTTGTGGACAAAATATTCATATATTTTAGTGAACATGGGCAATATTGAGATGGGGCAATAATTACAACATCCGTGTAGCTTATTTTTTGGGCATAATTCTGGCAGTTTCTAGGATGTCTGAGAGAATGTCTTATCTAGGAGAACAGCAAAATGTTGACATTCAATGTCAAAGTTTTGCAATCCCAAAATTTAGAATTTTAAAACTCTGATCCTTGATGAAAACATAATTAGCTAGTCCAAGGTCATTGTCTCATCCTAGTTGTACAATGAAACATGACATATATAGACAAATTACTATAGAGAATAGAATAAATTTGTCTAAAATGCAAAAAATCAAAAATAAAACATATTTGCCCAATTGATTTAGAGTCGTGTGTTTTCATCAAATTAACTCATTTGGTAAAAGATGAAAGGAAATAGAATACACATGACTGCGGCAATAATTCGCAGTATTGGGACAACGCACTATACAAATTTACTCAGCACTTTGCAAGAAATTAGAAAATGTTTAACATTCGATAGTTTAGATATCTTTTTAATCATTAATTCGGCAAAGAAAATCGTTTTATTTTTGACAGTAATTCTCACATCAAATATTGCTATTCTACAACAATAACGAGTACGCGCCTTGAACTGTGAGCACTGTGCTTCCCGTCGCTCTTTTACAGGTCTCGATCGCTACATTCCGTGTTCGTCCTCTTTCCCGTTGTGTCAGTTTCATTATTGTTGTGCTGGTGCAGTTGCACATAATAAAGAGGTCGTTCGCGACTAATACGAGTGATATTGTATGGGACTGCACACACAACAAACGCGCTCTAGATATGTCAATATACTGCTTCTCGCAATACCACACGTTATCTTCGATATTAGCCGCTAATAATCTCTAAATGTGTATTAAATGCTAGCAACGAACGACATGCTTTGTCAGTTTTTGTTTAAATTTGGTACATACGTTTTAGAATACATGTTCATGTCAATTTGTTTCATAATCAGACCAAAGATGGCAGGCTGGCAGCCATCTTTTTTATATAAAGTTGTATTTTGATCATGCGTTGTTGGGTTGTGTTCAAATTTGGTAGTTACATCATACATGTATACATCGAATCCAAATGGCCGACTGGCAGCCTCCTTGTTTTTTGAAATTGTATCTTTTTTTTCTTCTTCAAATTCATTTTGTGATTTGATTTAAAATGGCCGTCTGGCGTGTGGGGATAATAAAAACAAATAATAAATGAATATATGACTGATACTTGTTGCAAATAAATTCATGAATGACAAGAATTCTGCCTGAGATGCATATTAATTCATACAACTGATTACGACTATGGATGTGAATAAACTTTAACTGAAACTTCAAGTTGTATCTTCTCAAACATACATCTGTTAGTCACTTGGTACACGTTCATGTTTGACTTTCCTTCGTTTTCATTAAATTAAAGTGCTTTAATTTCACAAAGTTGTTAGAAAGTATCATTGGGTAAGGCCGTAATAAATAAGCTGGCACGCGATACTGGAGACATGCACTTTAGTTGAATTTTCATACCAAAATTACATAAATATGAGAAAGTGTTTTTTTTTTTATAGATTTCTTGGTTACTTAATGGGTTGTTCGAGGCCAAGTGATAGGACAGTTAGCTAATGTTACCTTTGTATGAGCATAGTCATGGTCAGGATAACAATGCAGTACGTTTTACTCACTCATTTAATATTCCCTTGTGCATATATACAATCAATACCAAACGAGGTATTTAAACTTTACATCGTCATTGGTGTTTTTTTTTTATGACTGCAAATTTTCCTTATTTGCAAATATCTTAACGACGACTAACTGGTACTGATATTTCATGAGACGCACGGGAAGCCACAAGCTGAGGTTGTTATCGAACATCACACACAGGGGGAATGAATTGCAATAAGTGATTAGAAATAATATAGTGTAACGTAACCAAATAAAAAGTATTTTGACGACAAACCTTAAAGTAGAGAGGCGGGAAACTGTATATGATGGCGAGCAGCCAGACGGCAATAACTATCTTACGTGATTTTCCCTTCGTAATAACGGATTTTGCCAGCAGCGGATGGATGATGACAAAGTATCTGAAATAAAGAGAATAATTGTGTTTCAGCAATAGGATCGGTTTCCCATGTAAACTATGTACACTTCCATGTTTCCATTGTGTTTCTGATTAC